ATTTTACGAAAAATAATATCAGTACGCTGGGAACATCGTTATCATCTTCTCGGTTAACAACCAGCTGTCGCTACCATTGAATTCTTACTGTGAATCAGTGCAAGGTGACCTCATATTTAGAGAGGTGAAAGTGTGTTATTTTACTTAAAATTGCAGAAAGCTATCAAAGAAATGAATCTGGTTCATCATCAGGTATGTTCTAAGGATAAACAGTTGTAAATGCGAATATGAGTGTTGAGGAAATAACCTGTGAAAGAACTGCTGGTTATTCATTTGATGCATTGCTTGTGAATTTTCATGTCAACGTCAACGTCACTGACGAGCAAGTTGTTTGTAAACTACTCGTGAAAGGGCGAAAAAAAAGTTGAAATAATATGATGATGAAAGTTTCAGTAAAAAATGCTTTAAAACAATAATCTAATCGCATCAAAAGGCAAGTTATAAAGATATATGAATTGATGAAATGCAAAACCGGAATGATACTGAACTCAGAGTTAGTTGACTTGTCGTAAAAGGTCGACGGACAATTAGAGAATGCGTATGTTGTGCAATATAATAATAACTTTGGTGTGTAAGAGCGTAAGCATTTTCGAAGAAAGTTAAATTATATAATGGTAAATGAACGCTTTTCAATTATTGCATGTCCATTGAATTTGCGATTGTCAGCGTACTTCGAATTCAATTATCCAAATTTGTACACAACCGAAAATTTGAAGCAAAAAACAATCGATTCGTAGCAGTCAACAGTAGCAGCACGGAGTTGCAGAAGTGTAATTGAGGTTGAATGCGCCGTGTTATGTGCTAAAATTTAGTGTTATTCCCAGTGGCAAAGTCGAAACAATCTATCATTGAGACGATCGTTCGAAAACAAAAATTCATTTGGTTGAAAAGCATTTGCTGAGAGATAGCAATATTTTGAACGAGACGAATGCGGTCAAATGTTCGTTTGAAAAATCGTTCATTTATTCTTAATCAACATTTCAAAAATTTCTCGTCCAGTGCTGGAAGTACTACTTACAGGTGCATGAAAACCGTCAAACGTTCTCGACAATGGATAACCTCCAGTCACGAAGGTTATTCCATTTTTTTCGAGTATTGATCGCACTGTTGCGAGAAGTCATTCATATTTAATGAAACGTCTTAATTGGAAAAAGACTGCGTTTATTTTGATCGTTCTATAATGAGGATTTTTTTGAAAAAGCATAAAAACTGTAAAATTTTTGGTCCCAAATCTGGCAAATTACATCCGTCGAACAGTCGCAGTGAATTTTTGTATAGTGCTATTGACAATGCAATTATAATAGGTACATCATGAACCCGCAATGCATTCTTAAATAGGCTGAAGTGAAATGATTATGAACAATCAGTGACAATGTATGGGAAATGTTTTTTTTTTGCCTACAACAATCTCAAAAGTCGTTACAACCATCTCTTGCAAAAAATACCCCTTATCAAAAAGATTTCTTTGTATTCTTTGCGCTCAGCAATTAATTGCTAAAGTTTCGCATCTATTCGAATACCAATAGTATGACTCAATCAACGAAAATGTGAAAAATGAATTGATAACGCTGAGGAATACGTTTTGTTCAGCCAATTTCGATATTCTTAACATATCCATAATTCAGCTGTGTAGTCAGTACGAACTTCTGATAGTCGTATAGTTAATGTGTGTCTTGAGTAGAAAACCAAATGCAATAAACGATTAAGATCTACTCATCATCTAGCGTGCGTAGAAAATTACTTAACACTGAATGACAATAATCAACGAATAGTTTTATCAAATATGGTGAGCATGATGCCGACCTAACCGAAGTGTTGATTGGAATAAATACAAAAATTTTTTCACGAGATCTTCGCACAAATGTTGATGCAGTTCATCGTTCGAGCACGTTTCAAATATATATTACAATTCATTAATGTTCTGCAAACTGCAGTCGTCAAATGGAGCTTCGCGTATCGAAAATCTTGTTAGCGATAATATACAATGAAATTATCGCACATACGCACTTGAATACAATCTGAACTGAAACATCAAACATATACATAAGTTTCGTAGTCGCAGTCTTTTATTCCATTCATTCTAATCCTGCACCAATATGACCGTTGATGAAAATGCACTGACCTGAATGCATTCAAAATGAGGCACATTTTCTTAATTTAGTGCTATTCCACAGATGGAAAAAACGATGCTATGACATAATTATCCACTGAAACCTGTGACAATTTATTTTCAGACTTTTTTTCGAAAACTCGTCATGTGAATAAGTCATAGACTAAATAAATTCTGTACATTTTATCTTCAAGCAACAGCATTCGATCGTTCTTTTAATGACTGCCGAAACCCGTAAACATTCAGTGATATTCAGTTATTGGATACCGCATAATTCAATGTTGAACGCGTCACCGAACATCTACCGTGTGCCTTGATAGAGGGCCCTAAAGGCTTCTTTTAAACGTATTGCATACAATCAAAATCATTGAACAATTTAAAGAGCATTGATCTCCCGCGGGAGAGCTTGCCTTAATGGATGAATCAAGAAACAAGATTAGGCAGTTTGATAGCAGAAAAAGTGACACGTCAAAAATTCTCTTAGAAAAAAGACAAAGCATAGGCATCACGAATTTTTCTCGCTAAACTCATTCGTTCTTCAAAAATGTTTTCAAAATCTTCCTCAAAATAAAAAAAATTGCTGTTTGTGCTTGTCGTGCCTTCCTGTTTATGTAACAATTGATGATGGTAACAATAACAAGCATTCACTCATCAAAATTCCTCGGAGAGAACAAGAATGGATGTGTGCGCACATTTGCGTGGAAGTCATACTGAAGTTGTTTGGAATGACCAGAATCGCTCGGGTTGACACCAAATGTACTTAAAACACCAACAAATTGCTCTATTCCGATATCGATCAATGCCCCCCAAAAAAAGAAGAAATAATGCAGCCATATGCAATTATAATCCATAGCCATAAACCATTCATAGTACTTATTTACACATTTAACGTTTCGACTGTGAAATATTTTTTATAATTGCAATAATTGCTCGTATCGAATAAATGCATAACCATATTCTCAATTCGTCTCAAATTCGAATCAATCTATTCGAGAATTTCATATTTCTTCATAGTCATTTCTGAAGTGTTATTACTCGCATATTCAGTAACGCAAATGCAATTTTACTAAAATATTTATCTATGACGAATTATTGTTCGCGTATTTTATACAATGCATTTTATTCATTCAAAAACAAGCGAATATTGAAAGAAGAAAATACGTAAGGCTTTCGTATAATAAAATGCATAAATAAAAAGTGAGCATTGATGATCGGTTCAGGCAATTTGCTTCAAAGCAAAAACCATTGAAAACATAAATTCAAACGTGGAATATTTTTCGACGTATTTTTTTTGTTCGTATCAAATATAGTTCATGATTCAGCATTCTCTCACCGAAGCAAACATTTTTACTTACAAGTATGACCACTGAGAGAATGAATACCACTACAAAATGGACAGAGTAGAATAACTGAAATTTGCGGTTATAAAAGAGAGGATTAGCTGAACGAAACTACGATACTTGCTTGTATGAGATATTCGAAATCAAAGCTATAAGAAAAGAAAAAAAACTTAATAATGGAATGCAAATGCAAACATCGAATCTTGATTCACACAGTCTCAAGCAAGTGAACAGAACATTCTCGTGCCGTATCATCAACTGAACTGAATACTTTCTCGATGTAACAATAAGCGTTTCAATAAAACTTTTTCGCGTACTATTCGAAAAGCTTTTTGGCTAATTCAACGAAATAAAAAAGAAAAACAATGAATAACAATTTCATCGCTCATTTTCGAACAGCACATTAGAACGCTTTGCAATAGCACAAAACAACTCAAACTAAAAAAAACAAATTAGTTTTGACTCAAACAGTTTTGTGCATGAGTGTCAAATTATTTTTCGTCCGGCAGCCGAATATTCCAACAAACTCAAACAAAAAGCTCCGATAGGGTCATGATTCTCCGCTTAATGTCCAATCTTTCTCAAATAATGATAAGGAGTGAATATAAAGGATCATTCAAACCATTCATGACGAGTGACATCATAGATGCATTCTTTTTCAAGTCATCAAGTCTTACAAATCACCAATAATAACTATCGAGTAATATCATCGACATTAGAATTGACATAATCAACGAGTCACTAACAAACTGAGAACATAATCAATCACATAGCAGTTGCCGAAAACAACTGCATGTAATTTCTGAAATCACTGCTATTCATCTGAGAATATCTTTGTTTCAATTTCTTAACACTCAAACGACAGTGGAACAGCAGACGATAGTAGAAGCAGAAATGTTTTGCGGTAAATTGGAAACATTCGCATGCATGGTTTGTCTTTTGTTCGTTATACCCTGGGTTCATTATACATAAACAGAGGTGCTGAGCGATACATCAATTGGAAGTGATTAAGTTCACTGAAATCAATCTCAAGTTATCATAAACAACAGATGTTAAGTTAAAATGTGCTGTGATAAGTGAAATGAAAGTGAGTTGATGTAAGAATTTTTTGTGTTATGCTTTAACGGAATGAACAAAACATAAAAACACATCCGCACAACCTGAACCTTAATCATGACGTATAAAAGATAAGTTGTCGACAAAACTTTGAAAAACTTTTAAAAAAATACGATGATGATTTGTTTTACAACTTCAGAGACAACTGCGTCAAAAAATGCTCTAAGATTCACTGTACGTTTCCAATTCCAGACCATATAATTTGTTTACCGACTCTCAAACAATTTTGAATGTTGCTCAACTATGTTATAATTCTATATTTAGTATTCCTCGAAAGACCTATATGAAGTGAATAAATTTTGGATTCATTCCGGAATGCAAAAGAATTCTCCCATCAAAAGGTTGCCTCGCATATAATGATTTGCAAATGTTTTTGAAAGCAGTTTAGAATATTGCAGAGGATATTGAGATACATTTGGAGAGCATCACAAAGATCAAACAAAAGCTGGCGGTGGAGCGGATGAACAGCACGACGATATAATCGACTTCCTCTTGTCGGGTAACGATACACCGTCAACGTGAAACGCTGAACTCAAATGGTCGTCATCTTCTGAATCCGAATGCATATTTGAAACCAAAAGACGATCACGCATTGCGGCTGCCAAGTTCTGGAACGCTTCTTCGCAGTTGATTCCGGTTTTAGCACTTACCTACAATCATTTCAATTAGAATTCGAGAAAAGTGACTTTATCGCCACGCTGATGATTTTTAGTTTCTCGGCAAATAAATCGACAAAATTTCCTCTGAGGTGACAACAATGGCCTCTCCAAGCCCCTCCTGACATTTAGCAGAACAGACCGTACATATCCAGTGGAAGCTCTCAACTCGTTTTGTTCAACCCTGTCATTATTGGCTCTCTCCCCTCTGTGGTACCTATGAATCTCTTTCGAACGCGAGATCGTCAACTTCACTCGACCATGAAATATATCTGATGATTTAAAAAATGCTAATACGATTCGTAGTTTTGAGAGATAAAGTCAACGACTTTCTCATTGAGTCTAAACCTAATAAAATCAAACTGATCAATCACGTTTAATGTTTCGCTGGTTGGTTCTTCATTAATCTACAGAATGTGTCAAATAAATGTCGAACGAATGCAAACAACAACGCATCGCATAAATAACAGAAACAAGCAATAAATGCAGAAAAAATCTATGTACGAGAATTCCCATAGACAACTGTTGACGAGAACCTTGAATGCAAATTCCACCAGAGCTTTGTATGGTTGTTTTCATTGCGAATTGATACAGAACGAAAATGTGGAAAGCACATGAACTGACATCATACGATAACTTTTGTTGCTGCTACTTGTGAAAGTATATCATTTGATCTTTAACAATTAACTAACAAATCAACTATCCCCAAACGAGTCATTGGACAAATTTAATCCAAAATAAACATTTTTGTTAGAAGAACGGAAAAGACAAGGCATCCAAAGTACGTTCTTTCATTTAGTCATTCATTTCAATCGCAATCAACCTTTTGAATAAGACTTATTGTTATAGTAAATTGTTAGATACTGAATGCATTTCTTGTACAAGTTGATAATGAGTGCATTGTTATTGTTAGTTGTGCTTTTAGCTCGTCTTTTTTCTTTGAATAACTTCGAACGGAAAGATCTTTTTGAAATCCCACTAGTGCAGCACACCTCGTATAATGAAACACCAAGACGACTTGCTAATTGCTCTGCACGATCAAAGTCCACTTTGCGTTGATCTTCCAAATCAGCTTTGTTACCCACCAGCATAAGCACTGCGTTCGAAGGCGCATTACTTCGAATTTCCTTAAAACCTCAACAGTATGAACTGACAGAGAAGAACTACGAGCAACAAACTGAAAAACTGCCATACTTGTGAGTCATTTCGCTCTGTACGATGAAAACTGAGTCATCATTGCATCAATACATACATGAACGTTACTAGTAAAAGATAATTTTGGTGAACTCCTCCAAAAAAAACATATGATTGATTAATTCATAAGGTGACTAATTATCAAGAAAGATGTTTCACATAAACATTTAACAATAGATGAATAATTGCAATAAAAGATAAAGATGAATCCCAAATTATCACTGAAATAATGTAAACGAAAATATAGCACTTGCTAACTTGCAAGTTAAAAACAACCGCACATTCGCAATATGTAGTCTTATGATAACTCAATACTAACTAAAGCCTTATTAAGTATTCATTTGAAAGTTTTTATTACCAATAAAATGAGCAGTGATCTAAGGTTGATTTTTAGATAAATAAATGGATTAGTGCTAGTCTGATTGTTACAATTAATGTAGTCTAGTATTTTATTAATGCAGTGATTATTATTGCAACATCTCAAACATCCATAATAATTCACATCTGATTTACGACAGACATCGAACAAATGTTTTCATGCTGCACATCTTTCTCAGAGCACTGCTAAGACAACACGAAAGCGATTTATCATTGACTGCATTTTGAATTAAGTTCTCACTTTCAGCCAATAACTTTGTAGATTTTCGAAAGAGCGTTCATCAGTTAAATCATAAACGCACATTACTCCGTGTGCTGAATGATAGTACGAATTGTAAATAGTCCTATATCGTTCCATTCCTGAAAGCATTCATCAATAACCTTTCAGTAAACATGCATTCCGATCCATCAGCAAATATTTATTCAGAAATTTTCACAACATTACAAAATATACCTAAGCTGTACATGTGTGTATGCGTAGAAATTTGCTTAGAGCATGTACAACTCAACTGAACTTAATCAATATAGGACTATAACGCAACGTATTCCTTGATTATGCTTCAAAAATTTGTAATTGCACACACAATTTTCCTTCTCAAACGGATGCAATTGGTTTCTCGTCGAATCTTGTGGTTCTATCGAAAATTATCAGATTTTTTTCATTGTATTTTTTCATAAACTTCAAACATTGTCGCAAATTTTGCGAAGTAATAGTAATAATGGTGAGTGAGAGGTATACAAGTTTGCATGGAATAATTCTAAGGATTGCAGCCGAACTATTACACGCATTCGAATAAAAAGCGTATAAAAGAATAAAAAAGCACTTTTCGACCTTTTCATCATACATTGCTCATAATTACCATTGATAATCGACAAATTTTTCTCGATGATCACTGACCGAACACTATTAAAGCCATTTGGAATGAAAATTTCGAGCATCGATCGATGGTGTCCGACTCATTTCCGCACAAAATCATTTTGGAATGCGGTTACGACTAACAACTGATTGTGACAATCAGTGAGTCATTTTGCTAACCATCCGGTTATTTGGACCAAAGAAATTGTGGGAACAAAAAAAATGGAGAAAAACCATACACAAGGCAGAGAATATGTTCAAGCATGTTCTTGACAGTACGATCACTCAAAATTTTATCATTGAGTTACTAATTTGATGATGGAATGAAAAAAATTGATGTTTCGTTGACATTAAGATGCAAATATTCATCATTTTCGTCGTTTTTGTTTTGTTCGTTTTTCTGTTTGTTCCATGTGCGCAAAAAGAAATCATAAAAATATTCAGGTTCCCATTTTTTAAAAGATTTTGAATAGCATTTTAGAAACATATTGAGGATTTTAGAAGCTAAACTGTCTCAGATGAATTGGGTTCCGATTTGGTGGTGTGTGAGAAGAAGAACACAGAAAGAACTGACATTCACGATAAATCATTGCTTTTTTTTACTGACGATATTCATCATTATCAATAAGTCATGCATGCGCCAAGTGATTTTCGAATGGACATTTCATTTATTCGTTTAACCCTCCGTTAAGGGAACATTCCAAAGACTGTGGCGGTCTGACAGTAAGACAGATCATTTTCATTGGTTATAAAATTCAAATTGGAAATTCACAATTGCTCGGTAAAAACAAACAAAAGCTGTCCATTAATCTAAATTTGAATGCAATTAGCACTGGCTAGATGAAGTGGAGTTTGAGCAAAGAATTTGGAAGTGGGACTGAGAGTTGCTGATTATTTATAATTAAAGTCGAAATCGTTTTTGTTGCATGTGCGTTTAGTGAATCATTTGGAAAGAATAATTATTCATTTTGCGAACGAAACAACAACAGTGAATGTCGATTGCATGTATTACATTAATAGACGTACATTTAAAGTTATTGCTCGTAAAGTGCACCGCTTGAAAATGACAAACAATTAAAAATAATGCATTGAAAAACGAATTGGTATTGAATGCAAAAACGCTGGAAATCGTCATTTTTAATGCGATTAGATCATAAAATTGATGTTCCTTGTATGACTAACGGTAGATAGGGATTGCTTCGAAGTATACTTTTTACAACACAGTTGAACATGATGAAGAGCGGATATGAAATGAAAATTAAATGCGAATGAAATACATTCTAACTTTGAAGATTCAATCAAATTTCAACTGAACTTTTTATGAGACCAGCTAGTAGTAGGTGAACGGTTTCGAGAGTAGACTGGAATGTTGATATAGAAAAGCAAATTATGAAGCAACTGTTATTATTTACATGAGCAAGGCACATGGATTATTGATTGCTCAGTGTCGCGGTATGGCAGCCTTTGCTTGATGATGATTAATAGCACAATTAAGGAAAATTCTTAGCTCACCTGCTGTATCCCATAATTCAAGACGAATTTTATCACGACCCAATTTAATGGTTTTTAATTTGAAGTCAACACCCAGTGTACTTATATGGTCGTGTCGAAATGAATTTTCGGCGAATCGTAGCAGAATACATGATTTACCGCAGTTGTGATCACCAACAACCACAATCTTGAACAAATAATTGTAGCTCATTTAATAATGAATTGAATTCAACTCCTCGCTTCAATCCAATAAGATCAGAGAATAAAAAATAATTCAGTAACAATAAGTGAAGTTACGGAAATGACGTGAATAATTGCAGCAAAAATTCTTTGGCAGATGAAATGATCAACAACTATCGATATCAATAAGCAATACCATGCCACCTATAACGTGAAAATAAGATAAACAGTATGCAAAATTACAAATGTCATGAACTTGTAATCGCAAACTGAGGACGACGAAAAACAAGAATATTCAACGTTTGATTGATGCAAATCGTCGACATCAAAGTATGGTCACTACTAGAAGAGCGCAGAAGGCGGATTTGACTTGAGATGATGATGAATGAAAGATTTTCCCGACGAAGTTCTTTAGAAACGTTTGAACAACAAATGAAGATTGCAAAATGAAATCAAAAGAGCGACACGTGTGGTAAGAATAGAAGTAAACAAGAGCACAAAAGCAGTAACTCTAAGCAAAATAACAACAGCACTAATAACGACAACACTCTGAACTCAAACAACACTCACGCTGTACTCGTTGACTTGATACTCTAATAGTAATGATGATGATCACAATCAACTACATCCGATTACTGCGTTCGTTTGCTTTGATCAATACACTACGGAAGTTGTCTTATGTGGTTTGCTCGTCTTACTAATTATCTTGTTCGTGTTCAATTAGTGAAAGTTGATAATGTTGTTCAGATGTTCGAGTTGTGGTTGACATATTTTGATGTTGTTATTATAACTGCTGTCAGTGCACCATTGCTGCTGCGGCAGTGAATGAACGAACGATTGAAAGGAAGAGAATAGGGTAGGAGAACGTTGAATGAATAGGTGTATTATAATACGACGAGACGAAATCGAATGAAATGAACTGAAATGGAATGGAATAAAAGTGAAGTGAACACGATCAAGATGGTGCTCACAAGTTGGTGGAAGAAGAGGACAACAATACTTGCTTAGTGCATGATTGGTGCTCAATTTTGATGATCATTACTAGCTCGTTTCGTCTTCGCTACTTCCTTTCCAACAACAACAACCAGTCGAAGAAGTAGTCATTTATTACGATGTCGCTGCTGTCATTCTTCTTCAGTTCGTGTAACGCAACGCATTACCAACCAACGAACAACGCACCTAGGTGAGCAACGCAGATGAACTGATGTTGCGGCTGCTATATTCGATACGATGTGATGTTTCGCTATGTTCTCCAGTCTTGCTCTTCTTCTTATTCCCTCATGTCAATACACCACCCCCACATTGGATTATTATATTTATATGATATGTTACATTTGTATATCACTCATGTTCTAAACTCGTATTCCTCTTCTAATATGTACACAATCATCGCACAGATATACCATACAAACAAACCATACACTTACTGTACAAATCTATCATAAATGTTATGTCTTTCTCACCAGAACAGTCCTCACTCACTTCCTCTATTTGTTTTTGTTTGCAAACGAACACATCGAGCAGTAATGAGTTAAATGTGTGGTCGGTTTGCCTAAAGAAATAAGTTTTGCTTGTATGTATATGTATTTGTGTTTGCTTTTGCCTATGCTTCAACGTTAGTGCAATAATGCAATTTAAATTTGACTTTTTTGGTTAAAGATAAATTATTGACATGCTTGAAATGAAACATTTCCATTCTGCAACTCTCACTTATTGCCTTACAATGATAAGGTACGAGAGAGAAGAATTGCCATTTTTGAATTCGACTGGAGAAAGTTTCATTAAAGTTGCTATTGGAGCATTACATAGTGAATAATTAAACACAATATCACTGCCTGCAATACTCTTCAGATAGATGCATCACCTGTAGTTTCATTGGAATTAACATTCGCTCGAAAAACTCTGATTCATACAAATACACATCATTTCCTTTTCACTCTACTTACTACCCACCAAAAATCACTCGCTTTCGAATGTCAGACTGCAACGAAAACTTCATTGCAACCACATCCTTGATCCGTATAGATGAAGGTGTCACTCGATGGAGGCCAATCCTCCGAGAATGGGGAGAGTGGGCCTTCAGTCCCAAAGCAGGTTTTTACTAGTAACTCATTTCCAGTGCGTCATGCTGGCTTGATCAGGGAGACTTCACATTACCTGAAAGCTTAACGGATCACGGCGATGAATTCAATCTTTCTGTCAGTGAAACGCTTGCTTGCAGTGCCCAGCAATTAGAAAAAAAGCTATTATATATTCAGAAAGTTTCTTTTGCGTTTACAGCAATAAACTTCCACTGACTAAACAATTCAGTGATTTCCTCGGGTTAGTCTGTTAAACTTCACTATAATAAGTTCACAAATTGCTCGTTATATGAGCTTTCATTTTGTACTGAAACAAACATATTACCTTGCTTCATACAACAGAAACATACACGAATGTATAACAACACGAACAGTATCAATAATGATGAACAAGCAGCAACGTACCACAACAACCACAATGCAAGTTGCTTTACACATCACTTTTGAAGTAAATATAGCACAAATTGTGAAATGAGAGGGAACGAGAACGTACGATTATTCATTTCTCAACAATATTGGTCGCGTTTGATGAGTCAACATCGAAACCATAACTGAACATCAACAGAGCTGAACATTTAAGAACGTATCGTGTCTGACTTATAATCAAAACGAAAAAACATCAACTGTTCACAATTCTGAAAGGAATAAACGATTCAATTCGAATGAATTGGTCTTTGGCATTCTTAAAACGGACTAAGGTATTGCCCTTGTCTTTAGTGCTTTATTAGGAAAACGATATTAAATTGAGTCGTTACACGAGAAATTGTCCATACTTGTAGGGATATGAAATAGTGCATAGGTAACTTGTGGCTGCCACAAAAAGTAAGTTTGCATAACCACATAACCTATATGATAAAGAATGTGGTGCTAACAAAAACAGCAATGTAAACATTGGTATTCAAATATTTTGAGGACAAAAAACCCGGATGATCGCTTTCCAATGCTTCGTTAGTTCACTGTGGAAACAGAAACTAGGTTCTAAGTGAGTGTACAAAACTAATGCAATAGTAAAAGGTTAGAAACAGATATCGTCCGTTTTAAAGTTAATTCTCAGCCATTATGTATTTATCTTAAACAATCGGAACATTTCAACGTGTTACTGCTATCACAAAAAAGTAAGCTTGAACTTAAATGTATCAGTGCATGCACGACCCGATTCAAACTGATTGAAACTGATGGCCGCAATACATGAAATAAAGACAGCACTTATGAAAATAATAGACTCACATGAAAGGATACAAACAGGTATCGCGGAACCAACAACAAACTTATAAACAGATCACAAAGAATCAATGCAACTCGTCAGGCGGATAGATATGTGGCTCACGTAAAAACAAATCGCATAAACGACTCAGTTCAAGCCAAATATCACAATCTATCTTGATTTTGTCGTATTCGTTTTATCAGAATATTTCACACTGAAAACATTTATGATGTGTATTTATCTTGAACAATCGGAACATTTCAACACGCTACTGCTATCACAAAAAAGTAAGCTGGAACTTGAAGAGATTTATTGTTTTCGTTCCGATTTGCCGCTATCTTAATTCAGTCGATGCTGCCGTGAACAAAAAGACTCCTTTCAATTCGAATACCCTCTAAACGTCCATTCAAAATACGAAATATAGCATCAGCAACAAATCAGCTCAACGATCAGGAGTTGTGCTGAATCATGAAGTGTTACAAACGACATGATACAGTGGTATTACAAGATAAACGAAAGAAACCCTCAACAATTTCAATCACAACTTAGAGTATGTTAAGTGTTATTGGATGATGATATGAATCAGATGTAATGCTATAAATATGTCCAACAAGGCATAAAAAATATCACTAAAGGGTGAAGTTCTTCGCTTGAAAGGCCGATCAACTGTAACACGCAAGTTGTACAGAAAAACTGCTAACGGTTACGATTCGCTCGCTTCACAATAAAATCAGTCAGCAAAACGTTTGTTTATGATAGGAAAAAATAAATTTGTGATTTGATTGCAGAATGAAAATATCTACACTGCTCTATATTGCATATGAATGCAGTGTAAATGTATCAGTGTATCATCATCATTATTCAACTTTCATGATTTTTCATTTCAATGCAAATCAACAAAAAAATTTCGAGAAGAGAAGAAAAATGAATGAATGAATGAATAGAATAATGTTCGTTCGGAATATAATAACTTGAAATTCACAATATCACATTTCATTACGTTAAATGGATACAAAATGAATTTACATGCATAATCCACGCATTCACTGAACTGAAAAAAAACAATGACCGAGAAATGCAAGAAAGCAAATTGGATGGCTGAAGAATCAGATTTGGATCGAAAATATTCCGATTGAGTTTATGATGAAACTTATGAGATAAACGGTCAGTGAACATGCGGTTGCGTGGATACCCTAAATACACCACTGAGATAATCGTTCTATTGAAATGAACGCATAAAGAAGCATTGGATTTCCTTTCAACATCATCTGAGAAAGAATTTCAAAAGTTCATACAGGTTGCTCTAAATAACTGAGAACTTGCCTCATGTAAACGAAATGTTATTAAAAACTGATAAATCTGAATTAAAGTAAGTTTTGAACATTCACATCTGAAAGTATCTTTCGTTGAGTGAAAGGAAAACAGGATAATCCACTCCTACCTTCTCAGTAATTGCTTTAAATGTGTTGAATAATTAGCAGGAATTAACAATGAATAACATCCAAATTACCACATTATGTGAACATTTGACGATCGTCATCAGTCAAAATTTGATTTCGGAATATAAAAGAGGTAAAAGCAAAAGTAAACAGAGGGAAAAAAAGATAACAATAGAGAAGACAATGGCAAATTGAACACCACAACTTCGAACACAAGCCATCTTTTGCTGCACAATGAATAGTTATCCCAGTTCCATAGCTGATAATCAATTCTTTTGAATCTCAAACAATTTCACATCTGTATCATACCAAATTGGTGGATCTACATTCCTGAAACCATCAACAAATGATGTTACGTATATTTCACCGAAAGCAAACCACACAGACCTGATAGCTAATGACCGACGATAAACTGTATTCGCTTGCAACTGAAGTTCTTTTTTAAAATGGCAGTAAGGATGATACTTAACGTAGTATACAAGTGATATGACAAATTAACCGCAAATGGTGTTCCACCAAAATAAAACAAGGACCGTTCACTGATGCCAAACGATTGAAATGTGAAATGCATCAAAAAAAAGAGGCATATCGATTAAATAATGAAATAACCGCGAGCGTTTCAGATCTGCATTGGATTACAGGATAATAATAAAACTGGTTGTTACAAACAACAAACCTTAAATAAATGATGCCCCAAAGATAAGTACGGAACCAGTGGTTTGTACCCGCGTTCGCTTGATACTTTCGAATGAGAATCGGATGAGGAACTGGCAAAAGTCCAACCAAAGTTCCATGTTGAAGGAATTTTAGAATTTCGCTTTCATCCGTCAATCCTCTGAAGTGAAATAAGAACGTTTGAGACGGGCATACAAAAACAAATTTCGGAAAGTAACATTGAAGACTGCTGACAGTCACATAACCGATGAAATTAACTTGGAAATTCAACAGTTATTTTTTTAAACCCAAATTTCCTCAATACACAAATAAGAAAGTGCAAAAACAATATAGTAATTAGGAACTTGTGATGTGTAAAAAAAATAATAAAAATGATAAAACAATTTACTTGTCGATGCAAATCTTTTCGACTTGCGGTACCAACACTTGTAACAGTCTCATAATTGTCTGCAGTGGTAACTTGCTCTTCCATGATTCCACCCATTCGGGAGTGGCCACCCAACTTTCCTCGCTCGTTTCTGCACTATCTCTCGTCCAATCACCGGCTCCTTTCTCAGTCATTGATGACATATGAGGAGTGGCAGCAAGAGTTGGCTTAACACTGCTTGTTTTCGTAGCATCTGAGAGATATAAATTATCGATCAATGATGTTTTAGCAATTGCCTAATAATCAGTACGGTTCACAATATACTCAGACTGAGTATAATAGAGTGGTCAAAAGTACTCGCGCAACTATTGCTGACGAAGAGAAAATCAAAAACTGAACATCGAAGTCTGATCTTTACGTGTCACACTTGATCAGTGCTCACAGCTAACATTCGATGGCAATTTACCACAAAAGATTCAATAATTCTTATGCTCTATACAAAGGGAGCGATTGAAATTGGGGAACGGAGCTGCATGCAGAGACATGACATTTCGGGATCGATCAATACAAATGACACCACCTTCAACTGGTTGATTTGACAAAGTGGGTGTCAACGGTTTACTTTCAGCTATTTCATCCGTTTTAGCGCGTCCTTTGCGGTTTTGTAAACTTTTTGATATGGATGCGGAATCCGAGGCGAGATTTGCCAACTGGTAGAACACTTGCCGCTTTCTTATTATGGTGTAGATGAGATTGGAATTGCCTGAAAAAGCAAAGTAAAATATTTATTCGAAACGAATATTCGAACACAACGTGAAAAACTGTCCTTCGAACTAAACTGAAAGATGATTTATAATGAATGCTGAGCATAAGTAGACAAATCCGCAAAGTTTGAAGCCGTCGAATGCTTAACCATTCCAAAAAAAGAATGCTATAAAAAACGCAAGTACAAACGATAATCAAACGTCAATTTCGTGATGGACAAATACGTTCTCAGAATTCAGTGAGCAAGCGAATTGAATAAATATACCGTCAAACTGATATTGAATGATGTTATTGAAGATTTCAAGAAGGAAGAAAACAAGATGATGATTGACTGGTGAGGAGAACAGGAACCATGGAGTTGAGAAGGCTTCAACTAGATGGATTAGCTTGTTGGCAGCAACCATTGAGATTGATTTCAGATATGGTGATACTGTAATTTATCGTATGTTCAATACAGTATGTGAATATGCTTGTTGATGATGATGAGGTATGTGTAACACAACGATGAAGTAAATGAACGGCTGTGAGTAACATAATATATGTGATTAGTGTAGCGTAATGAAGGGTTAAAAAATTTCACGATAAATGGATACGATTTCATCGAACTTTCAATCAATGAATCGAACAAAATTCCTTTTTGGTAAAGAAACATACCGTTAACAATAATGGTGAGTAGACAATCGAACAGGGACTGTAAACGATGATTGCCTGTTGTGATTAGCTTGTGGAAAACCTGTCATAAAATTCAATACCGATGACGATTAACATTCAGTAAATATAAATAGATTATATAACCGTATGCTAGCTATTTTTAAAACTGTTCTTAGAAATCTTATTTTCATTTAACAAACGATCTTGCAACAATGGATCAATAAAATTAACAAATGTAAAGAAAAAAGAGTCGAATTAAAACGTTACAATAATGAGAAGATCAGCGTGTGTGCCTGTGAACGGTTGTATATCAATCGCTGCACGAGGTGTATACGGTTTGTTAAGACGTACACCAAAATTACGCTCGCCACTCAATAAAAGCACAATAAACACACCCATATGTATAAGACCAACTCTTGCTGAAAGCATAACTTACGACATCTGTTACTAAAACACAAATCCAAATTATGGTGATATCTACATTTAATTATACAAAACATTCACTTAACGCGAAATGTTACAACTGAAAACAACGATACGAACTGCATGGTCACAGAGAAGCACCCGATAAAAGGCGACAATCGTTTACCTGGATCATTTCGAGAGTCGTTGATATGATATAATATTGGCACTAATATTTCCAAAACATCACTGGTCTTCAACACATAGAACATGAATTTCTGCAAATCAATTTTTTCGGTTATTGTATATCAATAAAAAGAAAGGATTTCGGCAGTAAAGAGGTTTCACTGATTGACGGCTCATTTACGATCACGGTCTCGTGATATTCACTGCAAACAATTATTGACAAAACTAGTCAATATTGTTTAGTGCGTTCAAGGTGGATGGAGGGCAACCTAGTCACTTAATAAAGATATATCAAAGCACAGAGAAAGGAGATAAATACATCTAAAACGGCATTTGAACATAAATAAAGAGAAATAAATCGAACAACACCTGATTGTATTCACAACATTTCCACAAAAGAACCAGTAACTCTTGATGAAATGCAACTTTTTTGGTGGAATTGGGCAAATACGTCGACTGCAGAGGATTGGCTAGCAAACGCGTCATGCCTTTCAGCATGAAATCGAAATCTTCTTCACGATGGATCCGGGACAAATAATTTATGAAGAAATTATCAGCATATTCATTCTTCTGGAACATACAATATGAACTATACTATGCAGCCACAAACTATAGAAAGAGGGTTGTTCAAATTTCTAAAAAAAAACTCATTCTCACAGAAGAAACAAACGAAAATTTGAGAAAGAACCAAGTGAAAGGAACAAAAAGATTCTTTTCGAAAATAACGACATCTGATGAATGATTCAGAATAAAATTTGGAAAAGAAAAGATTTAAAATGGATAAGAACAAACTCTAAAGAAACTGAGGAGGATATGTGAAAATGAAATTTGAACAAAAGTATCAACTGAAAAAGCAAATAACTAACTTCTGCATCGCTACGTCCACAATCACTGTCAAGACAAACGATAAGCACCTGTAAGGCGGTTTGAACGAGTGGTTCTTTAGAATCTGAGAAGAGAAGATAGTTATAGGGTAGACCGTAACCGACTGGATCGTATGCACAAACAACGTTCAGTAACGACGTAAATAACGGTAACACGTGCCGATTCTCAGCAGACGTGAAACGCGCTATCCAACGCATTCGATCTTCATCTGAAACATCAACTTACTTGAATAGTAAACATAAATTCATATCGATCTGATAAGAAACGAAAATTAGAGATAAATATTGGGCACAAGAGAAATTTGGACAATTATTATTGCGATCCGTTTGATGAGCGACATATATATCGCTCAAATAAATTTGCTTCCCGAATATGAACACATGAAACCATTTCGCTAGAGCTAGAGATGAGACGCTATGCTATCTTCACCCATATTCTGTGAATTATTTGTAGTCATTTCAGACACAACACTAATATGACAGGTAGTACAGATACAGTAGGGCAAGTATTGTTTAGAACGCTTCAAAAAACTGTTTGTAAGAAATAAAGTTGAATGACAGTTGAATTTAAACTGCGAACCCTATTGAATAATGAGAAACGAAGCATTTGCAATGCTAAGTTGATGGTGATAAATTATTTTCAAGAACCTTTTCAGGTATTGCACAATGCATACCTGTAACGGGTGCGTACATTACTTCAGAAAAGCATGTCAATAAAAGTTTGAGTATTTCAGCTCGACGATTATCATGATCGGCATTTTGGGTTGGCTTAGTCGCAAAACCGACACCTGCTTCCCAAATGTATTCACAGCTATCCAATGACGAGAGATCTTCAGAACACTCCTGATGAGCAAATATCCAAATTGAATTAAAACAACGCAGCAAAAAAGAGTGGCATTTGAAATGAGGTATTAAAAAAATCCACGCTACTGTGAACTATCGCTAGAATTTCTCAAGATGGAATAATATCAGGATGTTCAACCGAATCATTTTTGGATGAACCAGCTGAAAGTGAATGCAAATTGTCATTAAATATGAATTTTGCAGTTGCGATAAACAACTCCTGAACACTCACACCAACTAGTTATTTTATTCTGATCATTCTTCGCATCAATATCACCATATTCGGTGAACGGATTTTTTTTCGTACAACCAACGCACAATACACGAATATTCCGTTCAATACGTTATGAACAGAAGTGCTGACTTACTGATCGATTGGTAATTGAAGCCACTGTAAATTCGGGGCAGAACAGTAAATCTGTTAATGTAGACATGAGAGTGTAGGCCAGAGGTTGACTTGCAGGCTGGCCACCTTCTTCAGACTGAGGCGGTACCGACCAGAAGAAACCTCGCCAGTCAGAATCTTCGAACAAATACGGCATCACACGCGTCAATAACCGTATACAATTCAACACCTACAGCAAACAACTGAATCGCATCTTGAACTTTCACTCAACCAAGAAAACAATATTTTAGTTCATAACCACTCGAGTTAATGCTATTTAAATTTGCCGATCACTTTCTGCTACATCCGAAACACAAAAAAAGCAGAAAATAGTCATTTGAGAGGAATCAACAGCATAAAAAATTCAATTGACGTTTAATTCAATTAATTGAATAATTCGAAAACAATTGAACCCTACTTTAACAGCATTAAGAGCGGATGGGGAATCTCGAGCAGCTGTCAAACGATTCACAGTTTTGTAGCAGAGAGAGGCGAGATTGTTCGGAGTGTTGTCTCGCAGTGAACGAACCTTCAAATACATTCATACAATGATTACGAAACAGAGGCAAATGTAAACTATACGCACACTTCAATACATGATTAGATACAAGTCAAATCATAGCCTGGTTCAGGCTCGATAACATCACTGATATTAGTACATCATTCGGTTCCGAGCGAAACTTCCTCCGCAAACTTTTTCGGTAACAACATATTCACACTTATTAAGTGAACACGAAATTACGCTCTCACTCCACCAAACTATGTTTACGCTGTGCCCTTAGAATTCACATTTTTTTACCTATTTAGTTATCGATACTCACTACGGAGGAAAGCCTCTTCACTAGTATCACAAGTACGGTTGTCTATCACTTTCTATGTCCAATTTTGGATGGTCAGTCTACAAATCGGATTCCTTCGAGTCATTCTCGGCCTTCACCTATTCCTCTTCCAAACCCTTGGTTGCTATTCCCTTACTCTTTCTGTTTCACCCTCAGCACTATCTTCCTGCCCAATAAGACTTTTTCCCTTTATACTATTAACGAAATTCTGGAGTTCCACGGCACCCCTCATTTAATCATTAGTTTTACAATCCCGTATATTAACTTTATCACCCATCTTCCCAACCTTCTATCTACGCGACTCTAACCATATTCCCATAGCATACCGTTCTTCGTCATTCATTATTATCGGAAGATTGCATAATATTTTTTTTCACGTTAGCAATGAATTATAAAATGATAATATTTTTATCATGATATTTTAAACATTGTATCATGATTGCATAATATTTTTTCATTAGCATTGTTATTGTAACATAAAATCAACAGTCAAACAAAATTCTTGGGCAAACAATTGAATAAAATAAAGGAGAAAGAACGAAACGAACGACTCCAAAAAATCGTACTTACATGTTCATCGCATGTTACCTTTAAAACTTAATGAATACTTACTGAAAAGCTTGTAATTTTACACAAAGAAGCACTAATCCATTTAAAGAAAAGAAAACGAAACTCACATCTTCAGCTGGAACAAGCGCAAACACATCAGCCGCACTATTAATGTTCGATGCCCAAAGCTCTTCCCAAAACGCGTCCTCTTCTCCTTCTGTTTTTTTGCTTGTCAATTCGATGACCGCTTTACGAAAATTCACTTTGCTACCCGAATTGCCCATTATTGAGGATACCTTAATGAAGAGCGTTTGTAATCAACAACAACGACAATGATGTGTACCAATCGAACCAATATTCACGTTTTCAATCGTCAAACAATTTCATCTTTAGCAAACAGTTAACTGACAGATCGCCGATTGATTTCAGAAATTGTTCAAACATTTGGAAAAGTTAAGATAAACAATGAGAAGCATACATGAGTAAACATATGCTGGAATATCCCAGTCACGTAATGCAGTGGCTAGTTCACAAATCCGTTCAGAACAATGAAGAACATTCATTATAGATGCAAACCGCTCGCTATTTCCATGAATGTTTAGTAACATCTAACTAGTACACAGTCTTTCCTTAACAAAAAGAAGTTCTCCCTCCCCAAACGCAACTAGAATGATAATTAAACTGAAAATCACCATCTCTACGTCACATATTCTCAAATACACTGTGCAAGTGCCATCAAAAGGATAAAATTTATCGAGGCAATCTGAGACGACTGTGAGAAAAAACAGTTTCTGAGGCGAAAATACATGCGCTTCTTGAACGTCTTGCATTCGCTTAAGCCCACAACTTAACCCTCCTCCCCCTAAGCGTAGACCCGTGGCTAACCCCGATCTCATCCTCTCCTTGAGGAGAGCAGAAGGATGATCATCCCACCGCCATGAACAATTAAGTATCCCTGCGCTGACGGGAATATCTACAACTAAACTATATTATTGACCTTTCGCAAAATGATTGCTTCGTCTATTCGCCAAACGTGAAATATTTCTAGTTGTAATAATACACATACATACAACAATTTATTTGGATTTGGTATCTCTCTAGGTTTCCAACTTAGAAAGTGCTATTCCATTTCTCAGGCTTCCTTATCCCTTCACACGCATCCGTTCTTGTTTTGGATATCTCTTCCGCACTCAAAACCTACTACTCTTTGTGAAGTCAAGTGACGGAATGGAACCGTTATGCTCTGAAATATACCACTAGAGATACGCATATAATCAATCATGAGCTTCATCAATGAATTGCATACTTTTCTGACATTTCAGCATCTCCTCTGTTCGGACAGTTGGAAAAAATTATTGTCATCGTAATTGGAACGTGAACATGCGGTTGGTTTGATGATGGAACTGCCTATATTTCCATGATATGAAGATCCTCAAGCAAACACACACTATCATTGGGTACACACACACACGGGAACAACTCAAGACTTCGATCAAAACTATCGAGAACGCATAAGCTTTTCTTGTAGCACATTGATGGCGCAACAAATCTTCTGGTTTAAGTGTTGTGGGGAAGCAGAAAAAAAAAGTCCGGGACGGAGTTTTGCAACTGATGACCCCCGAAATGTGGTCAGCTCGAAGAAAAGTCGAGGGCGTCAAAGAAAAAACTCAGTCTCGTCCCAGTCCCCGATCTCAGAATACCCCTGAAAATGTAACGTTTGAACTGGATCTGTATGATTCTGAAAACAGAAAATTTGTTTTGGAAAAACATCGAAGTAAGCAATCTTTAGGATATAACACAAATAAACGCGAAGTCATAATGCGATTTTAACGATAATATTTCATTGAAGCACATTAAATGTACAAGTGCAAAATTTTGCAACGGAAAATGCATAAATAAAATGTATAAGTGCAACGGCAAAAAAAGTGCAACATTTTGGACGAAACCTCCCTTTTTTTTGCCCTGTACAGACCTCCTCCTAACCGCAACGTGCAACAGCACAAACTGTTGACCAAAGCTGGGAATACGGCTAGCCTGATCACATCAATCATGCGTGAAGAGAATCCTGCAATTGCATCTTGGGACTCGTATTTTTCCGACGGAACAAATTTATGCAGCAGTTTACACGCTTTTCAATAAATATACGTTCCGCCCCTCGAAATGATGAATGATTAACTTAACCAGAATTGTGGAGCATCGTGGCCAGCAACATTACAAACGTTTGATAGCGTGGCCAATCCAGGTAAACTCTATTTGTTAATTAACCTTACAAAATCATTTTAATTCGTAATGCCTTATCGTTAGAGCAAACCGCGTTCACAACTAAAGCGTCCGCGATGTACTGTAAACACCGCCGAATTCTAAACATGTATATTTACAAGCATTCGTAAATTCAGATCACTTTTTTCTCTGTACTATATTAGAAGATAAAACTTATTTGTTTGTAAGGTTAAAATAGAGTCTTGTTAAGGATGTTTTATTAAGAGTGCATTTATGAATAAAATATAGAACTGGGAATGATTATTTGTGGTTCAACCTAGCGATAAGCAGATCCAGAGACAAGTAACTTCGTCTTAAGTCGTTTTCTGACC